TGAATCATATCTCTAAACTAGATTTTGTACAAACATAATGATGTGCACTTACAAGCTAAATACACAAAACAGATAAGCAATGGGATGGAGGAAGTATTATTATCCCCATTTCATAGTATGAGGCCAGAAATGGAAAGAGGTGCCAGACTTTTCACCTCTTGAATGGTCTTTGATTCCCCATTGACCTAGAAATGTAGAGGAGACATAGCTAATTCTGATCCTCCTTATCTGACAGCTCTGTAATATCTTTTTCCATCATATAACTACATTCACCATCATACACTTAAATCAGGAAAGATTGTTACATTAGGAGGCATTTCTCTTGTAAATTTGCCCAAGCTTGATACTTTGTTCATTAAATTATACATACATCTATATAAATAACCACTCCTTGGGACTTCATTAGTACTTGAAGTTGAGAGGCGTTTGGTACAACAGGACATCAGCAGGACGGTGGATAGTGCCACCACCCATATCATTCTCAGGCCAGTATTTATGGCACTTCAGAGAGGTGTGGCATGGAATCGCATCAGTTTGAGGTGACGACTGAAACCAGTCTTTGCGGTTCTTTGCAGTGCACTCAAACTGATCAGTCATTAAATAAAAAAGGAATGGAATTAACTACATTCTCTCAGGATATGTTTTCAAATAAAAGCAGTCCTGGATGCTTCATCGAGAGCACAGCCATCTGTGTGAGTATATGGTAGGTGCAAATTAGACTAGGTGGGACTGCAAGCAAGGTTCAACTTGCAGGTTCTGTCCTGCAAATACAAAAAGCCTAACAGGACCAGAAGTAGAATTTCAGTAATTAGATTTCAGATTTCAGAGAAATGTCTCTATTTACAGATTTCTTGGCACCTAAAGTGAGGGAGGATTGAGAATCACACTTGTAAGTATAGACACTAGAAGTTCTGCTCTGTATGCCTAGATCCTCATGAAGATATAAGTCTATATATTTTTCTATGCTTCACTACAGAAAGAAGAGAATTTATCCTACAGTATTGACTTTGTGGTGATTTGAAATGAGAGAATTAAAAGTTTGCAATGCTTGAATAGTGATTTACTACTCAGTATTCCTATAGATTCATTTTGTATTTTTTACTACTGGTTCCCCTGACAATTTCAGATTTATCTTTCCATCCATTTTCATTTCAAACCACATAAGAAAAGATGTTATCGACTGCTTTGTATTCAGTGACAAATTCCTCCTCTTATTACCAAATGCATTCTGACTGTTGCTAAAAAAATGATGCACTTGATAGCACACGGGGATTTAAATACTGTCAACTGTAAAGGGTACTTCTGCAGACTAATACACAGATCCCAGCAATGCTTAGGCCTAATTGCTAGAGACTGGCTGAAGTCACAAGCTTCACTTCCAGATTTTTAATATAGCAACTGCAAACAACCTCCGAATCCATGTTTTGATCCAGCCATTATTCCGTAACACCACCACCCCCCGCAAACATCCCACCCCCCCACCAGGAAAAAAAAAAAAAGGACCCAAAGTAAAAACACAGGGGAGCAACTTCCAGGATTTTTAATTACTTCATATCTAAGGCATTTAAATTTAAGACATTACTAAAGCCTATCTAAATACATAGAGCAAACTCCACTGCAATATGGATCTGATTAGCAAGTCATTGAATTTGTTTATATGGAAGAGAAATCATCCTAAATGTTTACTGTATAAAGAGATACAAAAATAGAAATAAAGGCATACAATATTTAGAAGAGCCAAGACAACATGAACAAGGAATAGAGCTCAACCAGGAAGGTGCGATAGAGGATAGAAAAAGTAGACTGCAAGAAGTAAAACAAGATAACAGGAGAAAAGAGACAAGGTTGACAGCAAGGAGAAAAAAATACTAAGAAAATATTTTTCTGATCATCCATTAAATCTTCTCATAGAAATGGAAAACTGAGAGGGTTAAAAGGGGGAAGATGTTTATACAGATATTAATAATAGAGTGTTTCTTAGAGGGCTTCACAGTAATTTATACAAATGTTAAGTTTGCAAATTCTAGGGGTGATAGTATTAGATATAGCAGGTCTTTTGAGGAAGTGCAAGGACATAAACTTGAACTGCATATCTGTTCTTAATTTCAGTTGTCTTGACTGTCTCATGTAGTTTGTTATGCTTTGTTTTTTTTAACATTGGCAATTTATAAATAGCATTCTAGTTCATGGCAACTATATCAGAGTTAATTATAGCAGACCATGGTTTTCAATGCTAGGTGCCTGATGTTAGGCTCCCAAGCCTATGTTTGGGTGTGAAATAATTAGCCTCAATTTCAGAACTGACTGAACTGAGTCTGCTTAGTGCATATTTAATAAAATTGTTAATGTTCGAATAATTACAAAAATATATTGCTATTTTAATGCGTTAAAAATCACTCCATAGAACACAAAGAATGATCTGGTCCTTTTCCCAAGGGATTTTAAATCAATAGATCACGCTATCCATAATTTCCAGTAGCAAGACACTATTCTATGAAGAAAAAAAAAAAAAAAACAACAATGGCATCTGACCCTGGGTTTTAACTGAGAGTAGAGACCAGACCAAGAGAAAGCATTAGCTGTTGCTCTGTGACTTTCACACGGCATAGAAGCCTTTTCTTCTTCATATGCGAAAAAACTAAGTAGTGTGATTTCATTAGATATTTCTCGCTAGTTTTTTCTGACTTTAATTTAATACTCCTGGTTAAGATTTCAGTGAGTATCTTTGTATGTGCCATATTATAATAATCTATTGTCTGCAGAATAAACAAGGCAAAATGGCAAGTTTTCTCTGTAACTATACAGAATAGAAATTATACATGCAGAGAATCATAAGCATACCACAAATTCTGAGACAATGTGTAAATCCAGATTTTTCTTCCAAGCCAGTGAATTCTTGTTGTCAATGTGATCAGTTAGTGGTTGTATCACTGTTACTGAAACGATATCACAGCCATAAACTCTTGTTCCTATTGGCCCCATTGCCTACCCTTTTTCACACTTACTATTACAGTCCTTTTAGTACTGGGTGAAATGTTTTTTGTTGTCTTAGCTCATTCTATAATAAACGCAGCACAACTCCCACACACAGTCAGTCAGAACTGGCAGTTTCTCAACTCCAGTAAGTTCAGAACTGCATGAAGGCTAAATTACTTCTGTCCCAGGAGACTGATTCTTTGAGGTCAAGTCAAGCTCATTAAGGAGAAGTGTGGGGAAGTTTGTGCTGTAGCCTTGCCTTTCAGCTGCACCCATCATGCATAAATGCTTTGAGGTTTTTTTATTTCCAGAACTGTGTAGAACCTTAGCTATTGTACTCGTGATTTTTTTCCTGTGTTGGCAAAGTAGTGTTAGTGGTGAACACATTTAGCTAATAAGCATAATCTAAATAAACGGGCATATAATTGCATTCAGGTGACTGGGATTCTCTTTCTGATTCTGACCTGGTTCTAGAAGTTTGGGAACATTGCACCTGCATTTGTGCTATGGTTTCAGGCTTCCCATCCTGCTGTACTTACAGTGTAAGTACACTCTATGGTGCAGGACTGTCTCACACTGCTTATTAGTTTTACAATGTCAAGCACAGATAAGGCCCTAGAACCCACTGTTCTGTACATGACAACTACAAATCCAATGTCAGATAGATGGTTAAACCTCTGTGTAATGCTTCTTTTTCTTTTCCCATATAAATGTTTCCATTCTAATGAAATTGAAAATACCTAACTTGCTTTACTCAAAACTAAGGAATAGGTTAGTGCCATCAGAAGCTTTTTTCTAGCAATTTAAAGAACAAGAGAAAAAAAATAAAAAAGGAAAAGAAACAGCTATTCATTCTCCTTGTTGAGTCAGCACCAGGATCATTATTTTCAATAAAAAGATAGAAATATTTATGCCCAGAGGACTCAGATTTGTTGAAGCTCAAGAGCTATGATAGAAGCAATATCTTTTTTCTCTTCCGTTCAGTATTTACATATAAAAAGCATCTACTTTCATAGAGAACCTGTCTCTGAATAAGAGTGTATGCACAATATTTACAGGAAATAATGCTAAAGTATGTAATTGTTAATATTAAATAGTATTTTAAAATCTATTTTGATATGTCATTACCAAAACCATACTCAAGAAGGAAGACTGTCAAAAAAAAAAAAAAAGTGGCCTTAAATGAACATATAGTGAAAGAGGACATTTTCTTTGCATCAGTAAAGTCTGTATTATCTCAGTGGACCTAATACTATGTGAGAGCTTGTGAGGCATTAAGGGGCTGTTGATCCCCCTAGCCATGGGCTTCAGATTCCAGTGATAAGAAGATTCATTATTCATCATGCCTCACTGCTCTCCTTCCTTTCTTGGTGTGAACATCAGCACAAGCCTCTGTCATTCAACTCACAACATTTCTCAGTTGCATTTCTCCTCAGATCTTTATATCAGCCATATTCAAAATATGTCAGTTCTTAGACCACATCACTTCTACCAGCCAATTGAATTTTTTTCCTGTCCATATTAGTAAAATACCACCCAGGTTTTCATCATCTTGCACATCACCCACTGCAGTCTCCTCTCCCCCTGCAGTTTGCTTCCCCATACCTTGTGCACCATGTAAAGCCCCTTCCAAATGCCACAAGCTATCCATAATGCAGCACAGTCAAGAAACACTAGAGTCCTGCAGTCCTATCCTTCACATACCTAATTCCAGTTCCTCAACACCTGTCTTCTGCCAATAATAAAGGATTTCATACCACAGGTTAATAACTTATCTCCCCAGATATGGATCAGAGTCAGGGTAAAGCACTTATCAGGTATTATAAGCAGCAGTTAAAAAGAATCTCAAGTTTACCTAAAAACTTATGAAACTCCTCAATTAAAAAAAGTGATCTTAATGTTTCACCATCTCTTCTCCACACTTCTCACTTAGAGTGGCACAAGAGAAACATTTCTACCTTCAAAGCTTTCTAATATACATCAGATCATTACTATATGTCTTTGGTTTTGGGTTTTTTTAACAGAGTTGGCGTAGATCCAGATGAAGATCTGAAAGCAGAAGTTGCAAGCCAGGTATGTCAAGATTTAAGACATAAATGTTGAATTAAAAAACTGTTCAATTGTTGGCAGATCACATTTGTCAAAAATAGTGTTAAAGCTGAAAACGCTTAAAACAGGCAGTTTGAAAATAAAAAGAAGGTGCAAAGTATCTTTATTGTACAAGTAGAAAGAAAGAAGATATGCACTCATGAAAATTTTGTAACTAAAAATGTTATAGAGTTTGAAGGAAAATGTAAAGAAATGCAGAGATATCCTGAGAGGTATAATAAACAAAATAATGGAAGTGTTTCTTTGGTAAATCCAAATATTTATCACCTTCCAAGTGCTGTATTTATGGAAATGAGACATCTCAGAACAATGTTAAATCCCTTGAAAAAAAGGAGAATGAGTAATATTCAATTCTAGTAGGTCAGGTTTCTGAAAATATTTTTCAGTTACTTTTCATATGGAAACCTAAGTAACATTGTGAAGTTGAAAACTTTAAACTAAAGAAGGCTATTTAACAAGTTCCAGCTGTTCCTCTGTCACCTTCACTTTTTTGTCATACGTGTATGGCATGGTTTCAAATGCAGCACTGCCTGTAACAACAATAGAAACCTATGAAGTCAATACACAGAGCCATAACATGTGCTTCAGCATGGTAAATGGAACAGCAGTACAACTAGGGAGAAGCAACACAAGTTGCCAAAGCAAAAAAGTGCCTAATAATGTGTTCCTGTTTCTAAGTAACACCATCCCATGCACTCTTTCAGACTGCACAACTGGACCTGCAATCAAAATCACCCAACAGTGATATAAATGTAGAAAATAAGTTAGGGCAAGACATGAATACATTAAAGATCTCATTAGGCAGAATTTTAATTTATCTTACATACTGAGTATTCTTAACTTCTACACATTTGCACATATCTGAAGGCATTTAGGGTATCAGCTTTCACTGAAACTGAATGCAGCTCAGGTGCCTAACTGTCCTAATGTTTCTTTGAAAAAAAAAAAAAGGCAAAATAATAGCATTCATATCTGACCATATCCTTAGTTTTACAACCCAGTCACTATTAAAAGCACTAGCATAACACTCCATTGCACCATATCAAGATACTAATTTATTCTGAGTCTGAGGGGACTAATCACTAATACCACTTTCCTAAGCATCTTGGTAGGAATTCCTGCAATGTCTCTACCCAAATTCTGCCCAGCCTTAATCTATTCTTGATTGGATTTTAAAGTTATATCATTTCAGAATGTTTCTACTTTGTAGCACTCGTGAATTAGCAAAGATGTGAGAATGCTGAATGCAGTATAAAATTGACTGAATGCATGTTTTGTGAAAATCTTATTTCTTCAGAAGTCAATAGGCATCTAATTTTCTCCTCCTTTTATTAAAAACTAAAATAATCACATTTATGAATAACAATAAGACATCCACTGTCCCAGCTGTGACCTGTGAATTAACACCTATCTCTGTTGACAAAACTCAGCAATACAACACAAAAGGTGTAAATAAACATAACACCTTTCATGCCCTATCAGGTCCAAGTCAGCATTCCTTACAGTAGTAAATTTTACCTTGGAAGATAGCTTTGCTGCTCTGATTATTCTTCTTCCCCCTGGGGTATTCTATTTTCATTTGTCTGACTTTTTTCTATTTGATCTCAATCTTTTACTAATTCAGACCCTTGCTGCATTCCCTGTAGCCCTCTTTGCTTTAACTCAGTACCTATCATAGTTACCCAATTTGTCATGTTTTTTCTTTGAATTTTCTCTCATCTCTCTCTCTCCTTCTTCCCCTTTGTGTTTTTTCTTTCCCTTTCTTTCTAATATGGTGATTTTATTTGGTTTACCTATTTTTAATTTTCCTCCTATGCTAGTTGTCCTCACAGTGAAAGCAGTTGTTTTTCTTGCATATAGCCCTGGACAAATAACATATCAAGTACCAGTATCTCCCACCACCAGTTAAAGCTGTCACCCAGACAAACTTTAAATCATGTAGCAACTCTCAATGCTGTTTAGTGGAGCTTCAGGAGGACTCTAACAGAAATAAGAATGGCATATCTTCCTAATAATAAACCAGGAAAGTCAGTGAAAAATAAGCATTTACACTCCTCTCTTCTCAGCCAGAGTACTCAGCCAGAATGGGGAAGCCACAAGGTCTGCTGAAGAAATTTGAATCTGTCTCCCCTGTGACCACTCTACCTACCAGGACACAGGGTGTCTTGCTGTGGGAACCTCTCAATCCATATCTGTAACCAGACCTGAATTTTTCAGGGGCAGAAAAAAGCCTTAAACACCGTCCACCTCACGAGTACTATGTTAGAGGCAATAGCAACTGCATACGCATGTATGGCTGCATAACCATTTTCTTTCCTATCTCTGATCTGCCTTCTTCCCTTCCCAAATTAAATTTTCTCTTCTCTGAAGGAATTCGACTTATTTAGACATGACTTCCATATACATGGTTGTTTCTGGACTTCTGATTGTTCATTATTCTGGACTGGCTCAATCAGTAATTTTGGCAGCCAGATAGCAAAAAATTCCAGTTAAAGACCTGGAACCTGGGGCTCCTTCCATAGCAAAGGTGTAGAGCCTTTTAATGTATAATTACATACTGCGACCTCATCCATCAGCAGTATGTCTCAGCTTGTGTCAGTTCTGCCTTACTTTCCCTTAAATGTGTTTATCATTAAATCATTACCACAAGCATAAAGAGAAGAAAGAATAGCTTCATATTCATAACCATTTATTTATTGATGGTCTGTCATAACTCAGTTCTGAAAGAACTGATTTACATAATACATACTACAGATCATATATATTATTGTATGAAAAATTATATATTAAAATAAACAAAAACCATTTGCTGCATATCACATATTCAGAGTATAAACACCAAAAGCTAACTCTGATAAGCAGAATGCAGGATACATGAACACTAAGCAGTTACAAAGTTGATCTATTAAAAAAAGGCAAAAGTTTTTACAGCAGTGGTCTTTTTAACTAACTTTCCATAAACAATCAATAACATATTTTATTCAGATGGGTTATGTATCTCAAATTCTACGTTAATCTCTATTGAGATAGCATAAGAATATTTTTCGACAAGCATTTTGGAAAAATGTTGTAGATGTAGTATTGATCTCAGGAGAAAACTAAATAGCCTGCAAAACAACAATCATTATAATCTCTGTCAAACTAATGTTCATAGTTCATATAACCATCCCTGTATCTTTATTAGTATAGTAAGGAAATCATTTATATGTTCCACTGTCAGTTTCATCTGCCAGCTGTCTGGTGAATTTATTGCAAGTGACTAATGAGACTAATCTCCATATGGGTAATTCCCAAAGTAAGAGATGAGAAACATTAGCATTCTCACTTCCCAGAGAGAAAAATACTGTCTGGAAGAGGTAGTAGACTGTCTCCACCCTACTTCTACCTCACCAAATTGTAGGGAAAATGAAAAGTTACTTTTTAAGATCATAGGATCCAAGGATCTGCAATAGGCCAAAAGCATTCACACCAATATCTGCCACCCCTTGACTGCACTGTTTATGCAGGAGCTGCGCTACAGATAACTAGCCAGATTCCCATTAACACAAAGGCTGGTAACACAACAGAGACTTCATATACAAAAGAAAAAGGTGCAACACATGTCAGACTCAGAGCTCAGACAAGCCAGAGGTTACAGACCACCAGAGTGGGTGTGGAACAATGCAGCAGTAAACGTTATTGTAAAAAATAAGAGCAGTCCTAGGTCAAGATCAGTAAATTCTTGGAGAATTATACTCTGGTGTAGACTTTTTTGTCCACTGCTGTCATTCAGGAACAGTTCCTGTTCCTGGATGAGGAATCCTGTTCCCACAAGAGTAAGATAGCTAAACAATGAGTTTGGAAAGAGGAATTAACCAACACCACTATGGCTTCTGGAAATATTAGCAGTCAAAACAAGAACACTCAGGACATTTACAGAGCTCTGTGCTTTTAACTGGCCTTCCTCTGTGTTGCACTCATTGGCTGCTTGCTCCAGCCCACTCCATGATGTATCTAGTTCCATGCCTGTCCTTGTCTCTCTCCCCTCCATCCCTGTCCACCCTAGACCTTCACTCTCTGTGTTGTTGTTCTGAACTAATGTAGACATTACCTGCCATCACACTTCCTGCTTAAATGTTTCAACCCTTTTCCCAATCTATACCCCTCTTGTCAAAATGCACTATTAGGTATTAAGGGGCTTAAAAGAGTGTTCTGCTGCTTTGTTAGAGATTAGTACCTTCTTTCCCCCTAGTGCTAGGGGGATTTACCAAAAATACCCAATTTGGTAATAAGGAAATAAATCTCAAGAATATTTGGCCTGTTTGGTGCATTTTTAACTTCACTGTGACCACCTTTGACATTAGCAAAATCATAACAGCAACAATATATTTTCTGTTTCCATATAACCTTACTAAAAACTCAGTTAAATCAAAAGTTCCCATGTACAAGTTGGCTTAGAACTAAACCTTACGGTTTCGAGCATCAGACCATTGACATTATCATCAGCCAATTTACATGTCTGATAATGTATAACAGGAAATTAAAACATACAAACTAGATAAATTGGTTTAAAATTGCATAAAGAAAAACATTCCCATTTAAAAAAAAAAATCTAATTTACAGCAAAACACAAACAAGACAATAATGAAGTTTCCTTAGAGAATTTACAATCCCATTCCTGATTCCATCCTGCCACTATTTATTCTGCTAGTACTGATATAATGCCCAGAGTACAACCAAACCAGCTCTCTTTGTACAGATGACTCTTTCTAATGAATTATTCCAAATTACAACCCTGAGTAAAAGGACAGTCTATCTATCTACTTGTGCAGTATGTCCTAGATTTAGCTTGCAAAATGGAAAGCAGCATTTTGAGTCTTGTTGACTCAATCCATGTTCCTCTCCCCTTGGAAATAAGCACAGAAAGGAAAGTAGTGTCATAATTATTAGAATATCATGATCCCTTTGGGAATGACATTTTGTTAGACAAACGCAAATAGCATCTGATCTTGTAGGAGTAAACTGAAGTAATCCCACAATGGCAATTAAATCGAAATATCATTTTATTGATCTCAATATAGTACTTCTCAGCTGCTTAATAAAATTGGAATCATTAATAAAAGTAAATGCTGCACTCTTCCAATGAGTATATAGGAATGAAAAATGTGCTATATGAGCCAATTTGCTCCTGAACTGATTCACAGAGATGGCATTTGTGCACCAAAGCAGTATTTTATATTAAAAAAAAAAAAAAAAAAAAAAGTATAGTTAATTGTAATTTCGTTTGACGTGTATTTTTAATATTGGAACTCAATGTTTTATTTGTATTATAAAAATGCTTTTCACTTTATTCATTTGTTTATTTTGCAGAGTGCATCTAACATGGATAAAAATACAACCAAAGCTGAAAGTGCATGGCTGTTCAGAATGTGGTATGGCTTTGACCACAAGTATCCTTTTCTGTTATAAGCCGTAGATGATAGTTGCATTACAACTAGCACCTTCAAAACACTTGAAAAATTATTATAATTTTAAAAACAAAAGTGTAATTTATGTTAATGTGTTTAGTAAGATTAAAATGTTTTGAAGTTTCAAAGAAGATCTAGAGAGGTTGGGCAGTACATTGGTAATACATTCCTGATTGAGGCTATGGGGAGTGACAACAAGCAAAGCAGCTCTGCCCTACAATAGTATAAGATAAGTTTAACTAAATTAGTTGTACAATGGAATTTTAAAAAGTTAATCAAATTATTAATCAGATAGGGTGCAAATTCTGCTTTTGGGAAACTAAGAGGTTGTGAACTGAAGCAGGCCAATGGTTGCTGCCTGCCCACATATTCAGATAGTAGCAGCTACCCAAATGAAAGTAAAATAAGACAACACTGGTTTAACCCACACCTCTTACAAACTGAGAAAGATGCACCGATTGTTAAGATTTAGGTCTCAGGACTTCCATGGAACTCATACTTCCTATTCCCTGGATTCCTGAGCCTTTGTGCTTCTATTCACATTCCTACTGAGGTGTGTATGGTAGAGACCTTCAATACGTGCATCTGATGGTTTATGCTAGAAAGTCTGGTTGCCATATCTTTTGCATTTCAAGAAAACATTTTAAGTGATTTTTTTTTTTTTAAATGTTCTTATAAAGAACATCCTCCTAAAGCCAAGGGAGAACATACATGCTTTGACACCCATGCTGTCACTAATGCCTATGCAAAGATGGTAAAAGCTACCACTGTAATTTATTGTCATTTTAAATTGACTCTGCAAAGGGTTTGCATAGCTGTCAGTGAGATCCCACAATAACAATCATGCCTTAAGCCTTTAACAGAGGTACACGATGAATATAAGAGAAGCCCATCTGCTAATTTCCATGCACGCTAGCTCAGGAGCTGAACAGCAAAGCTCTACCAGTAGTCTCCATTATTCAACAGCACATCTATTGGTCCATTACCCTGCACTACTGAGTAGAGATTAACGTTCAGGCTACATGTATGTTTTTCTGATACCAGCTGCAACAAACTAGGATGAAATATTTCAGCTGATAAAATATAACTTTGGGGGAATACAGCTTCCTTAGAGAGTTCAAGTAAAGTTATCCTTCAAAGAGACTTTTGATGGAAAGAACATATTTTTGGTAAAAAAATGATTGGCCCAATTCATCTACCAGAACAGCTTTAAGGGCCAAAAAGCACTTAGCAGTAAAATGTTCCCTAGGATAATTCTTCAAGAATATTTAAAAATATGTGAATCTTGTATAAAGGGGGAAAATATGTTTAAATGTTAATGCTGAGTACCAGCAAAACTGGCTTTAAGTACCACCCAGTTCCACTTCTTTTTCAGAAGGAAAAGCCTGTGCTCTATCTTAGAAGCTATAAGTCAGAACAAACCAGTGAAGGGGGGGGGAGGGATTGCTCTGAAGAAAAGAAGAAGACAGCAAAAAAATGTCGAAGGCAAGGACAGGAGAGAGCCATGAGTTAAAGACATGGAAAAGACAATAAAGGTAGAGTTAGAAAACAAGGGACAGAAACAGAAAGGAAAGAAAAAATCAATATGAAAGAGTCAGACAACAGTACTGGAAGCACCACTTCTCAGATATTATCTGTGTGGTAGAGATCTTGAATATAGGTGTCTGATTCTTTATTCTAGAAAGTCTAGTTTCCATGTCTTTTGCATTTCAAGAAAATATTTTAAGTGATTTTAAAAAAAATATTCATAAAAGGAACAAATTTATTCATATGTCAAATCTCTTGTCCAGTCAAGTCATAATCTTTCTTTAGAATTCAGATTTTCAGGGATTATAGCCCTGCCATTATGCTAAAATATATTTTTACATTTTACTAATCTTGAAAATGTATGTCCATATACCTGCACAGAATAACGGTTCAACCCACTAATACTCTGACTCAGAGCTCTGATCGTTTCTTTGGTATGACTATTTCTGAAAGACATTCTTTTCAGGGAGAAAGAAATTATCCACCCAAACTTTCCTCTGCCTTTCCCTGCCTAATGTTACAAAGCTGTGCTGCTAAATTTAGAATAAATTATCATGTAGAACAGTATTTGTGCCCAACACAAGATTGCATAGAGGATTCTGATAAAGTTTTCTAAGAAAAAATACAGCAAAATAATAATCTGGTTATATACTTCGAAAGCATACAAGACCAACATTTCTATAGTTTGACATTTGCTCTTAGGCATTAACACAAATATAACCATTCTTCTGGGAATCACATCTCATATGTCTATTTATTTCACAAGGGAAATGCAAGAGGAATGAAATCAAAAACTTGTGCTGTTCCTTATGAATGATTTGCACTTAGTCCAGTGGTCTTAGGCAATGGCAACATGCCACACTAGAATAGAACTGTACAAAAAAAACCCTGACGTTCTGTTTGGGAACCAAATTTAGGTTTTATTCTGAAAGAAACAGTAGGAGCTTGATCCAGAGACATATGGATTCAGTGTTGTTTTCTTTAAGCAAGTAGCTTTGAATCAGGTATTGACACCTAAGAAACACATACCATTCTCTAAAATCTAGGCTAAGGAATGTTAATATTGGAATAATAAAAATGAAGAGCAGATTATTTAAGTATTTAGAGGTATCTGCTTGGATTTTCATCATTATAATTTAAACAAGGAAAATGCAAAATAAACTACTTGGTATCTGACAGTGGGTAAACTCCAGTTAATTTATTTCAACTTCTTTGTTTTAACAGTTTACAACACATTACCATTTGAAGCTGTAATATCCTACTTAAGGCTAGTGGAAAAGTGAGGGAATAAACAAAGATGTTTCAAGAATTTACAGAGAAAAAAACAAAAACAAAAACCAAACAACACAAGATATATAATCCAGCACTGTAGACATGGCTTTATATTGTTGCGTTTTTTCAAGACAAATGTAGCCAAGTTTAGCTAGCAAATAAAAGTAGGTGGAAATTTCATGCTGCAAGGACAAGGACCTGTGTATTTAAGTGCAGAGCTCAAACAAACAGTGAGCAAAGTTGTCCTATTCCAGAGCATCCCACAACAAAATTACAACTTTCCTCCCAGCTAGTACCAATTTGCTTTTAACTCAGTCCCAAACCTCTTTACTTGCTTACCCCAACAAGTATCACTAGGTTTTGCCTGCCTAGTCCCAAGACACTGTGTACCTGACTAAAGTTAGAATTCCTCCTCTACGTAGGCCTGTGTTCTTAGTTACAATCTACCACTAAAAGTGAAGGTTAAATTCATAATAAAGGCATCTTGCAAACAATCTTCACCTGTTTTTCCAGCTATTTTAGACCAAACCACTGCAATCAATTCTGGTTTAACATGATCTATACAAGGCTTTTTGCCCACTTCTGTGTCTGTATTTAAATAATTCTCCACTCATGGAGAGGCATTTTTGCTCTTGCTGGCTGTTCTGTAGCATCAGTCAGGAAGATGACTACACTGTTCTCCCAGCTTCTCATGCTGTCTACTGAGACAAGAAGGAAAGATTTGAGATTGCTGCACTAAAACACAAAAGTGCAAAAATAACTGAAACTGAAGGTGAAAAAAAGGGTATAATGTATGTGCTAAGATGTTTCCATCCATAAATGCTCACCATCTTCATAAGAAGCAGCTACATTATGTTACAGGATATCTATTTTAATAGCACACACTGAAACTTGCATTGAGAAAAAGACAGATGCTGCATGACAAGAAAACTTATGCAAGATTACAATAGAAGAAAGCAAGAACGGAAGGAAGGACAAAGACTTCAAATGCACAGTAAGTTTCTTTGAATATTTAAGAAGTGTTAATTTGCAAGACACAGGCCTTGGGCCCACCTGCAGCCAAGTCTAATCATGTTTTTTTTCTGGTAAGGGGGTGAAGACGAGATTGCATGTGATGTGGTCCTTCAAGACTAAAAACATGAGCAGAGCACTAATGCTGCCTATCTCTGGCACATGTCAGGGCTGAGTGGGAGCAAGAGAGATACAATGATTGTTGTTAGCTGGCTAGTATGGGTGTTACAAGTATTGCAATGACAGGCCTACTGCATCATTCATACCATTCCAAGCTACCAAATAGTAATGTAGCTCACTTTCAGAGCTTTGCTTTTTGAGTGGCTCACATGCACACTGCCACCAATAGAGTAGTAGGAGGAGAGATTTATCCTTCACAGATTCCTTTTCAATCTGAAGAACTAACATTCAGTTGTACTGAATAGAAGCAGGAGTCTGGGACAGAGAGACAATTCTCCGTAAAGCAACTTCCAAAAGTGTTTCTACTTGAACTGCAGTTATCCATCATTCAGATGCATTCCTTACAGTTTAAAAAAAAAATAAATAAAAATGTTTGTGTCCTTTGCACTTACCTGAAATCAATCAGCCAAATGGAATTTGTAGACTTCAAAAGTTTATTCTCCTTAATTTATCAGGGCACCTATCATTTTATGTCTACTGCGCTTTGTACGTGGATGAAACAGACATAATGGCTGCCTATGAAGTAAGATAAGTACTGTTCTGTGCCTGTGAGAAAATGGAAAAGCTACTAAAAGTGAAAGTGCATTCCAGGGTGAACTGACAATCAAAGAAAAATTCAGCATTTTGTGGTCTTCAGCTGAATTTTTCTTCTGGGATGACTCCCACTCTATCACAGACAGACATCTTTGGAAGGAAAAGACAATAGGCTGTAAACATGCACATGTATATAATTTTCTTTTACCTGCTGGAGAATTAAAAGGTTCTTGATTGCTAATATTCTGATTTGGTATTCTTTATCACTTTAGTGACAACAGCAAAATAGCACACATTGTCCTAGTTTTAGAACAGAACCTCATTTTGCTAGACAGTTTTCAAACAGATGAAATGTAAGCAAATTCAGGTACATACACAGAGTAATGTAGAATTGGCTAGCAGAAAAGGTAGACATCATAGAATAGATATACCAGTAGAGCACAAGAATCAGTTTTGCA